ACTTATCCTTAACTTTCTAAATGGTTAAAATGATCATTTTTTTATGTAGGAAAACTGAAAAAAGTTTAGTATACTGTATCACCCTTATTAATAAACAAGGAATACTCTTTAGACTAGTTACGCCGTGTTTTGTTCAAATCAATCAAGTGCCATATCGTCTGCTTAACAAGAATTTTTGCTAACTCCACTTTTGGTCAAAAATTATCTAACAATGGCGTTTGTTTCTTTTAATGTGAACACATCGTTTACGTAAATTTGGCAACTCCTTGAATAAAGTGGAGATAGCAAAATGTTATGCAGACGATATGTTATTCAGTGAACAGAGATAAAACAAAGAGTAACTAATCCAAGCTTAGTCTTATGGGTGGTAGTGGGATGGGTGATAACGGATCCAGTGCGGATTGAGGAATGATAACGGACCCAGCGCGATTTGGTGGGTGATAACGGACCCAGCACGGATTGGTAGGTGATAACAGACCCAGTGTGGATTGCTAGGTTATAACGGGCTCAGCGCGGTTTGGTTGACGTTAACGGATCCAGTGGGGATTGGTCGGTGACAATGGACCCAGTGCAGATTTGTGGGTGATAACGGACCCAGTGCGGTTTGGTTGGTGATAACGGACCCAGCGTGGATTGATGGGTGACAATGGACTCAGTGCGGACTGGTGGGTGATAACGGGCCTTGTGCGGATTGGTGGATGATAACGGACCCAGCGCGGATTGGTGGGTGATAACGGACCGAGCGCGGATGGGTGGATGATAACGGACCCAGTGCAGTTTGGTGGATGATAACTGACCCAGCGCGGATTGGTAGGTGACATTGGACCCAGTGCGTATTAGTGGATGATAATGGACCCAGCGTTGATTGTTGGGCGACAATGGACCTAGTGCGGATTGGTGGGTGACAATGAACCCAGTGCGGATTGGTGGGTGATAACGGACCCAGCGCGGTTATCTTAATCTTCAGGTTAAGTTTATAATTTTCAGATCATTGGAGTTAAAAAAGTTTCACTTGAGTCGTGTCATCGTGTGGTCATAAGCACACTCGCTTTTTTTATTTGCAAAATATGCACACGTTATTTTGGTAAGTACTGTTATCTGTATAAATAATTTTAAATTGATATCTTTTTTATCTTAGTAATTTTGTTACTTACTTCTTATCATAATAGAGGCTGAAATTAGGTTTTAAAGAACTACCTACGATGATTAAAATCATCGAGCTTTACAAAATCAGTAAGTCATTTAAAGGTTTTTGTGTTTTCCTTATACAGTAAAGACCCAAGCAATATCCAAGAGTGAATCTTAAATAAATTTAAAGATATCATAAAAAACTTCTTAAAAAAGCTTAATGGTTTGAACTGTTCCAATCGCTCCAACAGGTTTTCTATATGAAATATAATCTAGAGGAAAGGTGTGTATGTAAGTATGTTTGTAACTAATAGGCTCAAAAAGTACTAGACCGATTTAAAAAAATCTTTCACCATTTGAATGCTACGTTATCACTGATTAATATAGGCTATAGTGTATTTTCAAAAAAATTAGGGTTCCGTATGAAAACTTCGATAATGTAACCCAACGTGTGTAAAAAATACCAAAAAAATAGCCTTATATCGCGAACGCTGCGGAAGTCATTGACAATAGATATATAAGTGGGTATATATAAGTATATTAAGATATAAGTGATGTACTAAAGTTTTATAGAGGTTACTAATATCTACAAAAAAGGCCGCGACACCATATGTTCAACCAGACCTATTACAGTTATGCCACAACTAGAGGTCCCTGCGGTTTCTCTCGCGATAACTTGAAGAAAAAGGTTTATAGTAAATCAAACTTATATGGACACAGGTCACAGGCTTTCGTGGACTTTTTTACAGAACTTTTAAAGAAGAAGAATTCCGTCATACATGGTTTTTGTGTAATTTTACCGTTTATCCAGCGCACGCAACGGAATCTCACAAATGGAATATTTTTACTCGTTTTTGCAATATTTTTCATCGATACACCGATGCTCCTCCTCCTCCCCTCCTCCTGTCCTAGCCTGGTAATATAGCCTATAGCCTTCCTCGACAAATGCACTGTCCAATACAAAAATAAATTTTCCAATCGGAACAGCAGAGCAATGTTGCATTCGGTACAACGGGTCCTAAACTACGCAACGAATTTTTTACTTGCAATGGAAGGGTTATAATTATTGTGAAGAAAGTCATTGTTATAATACAAGCTTTTGAACCGAAGCAAAGCGAGGGCGGGCCACTAGTTTAAGAAGAAATTGAAACAGCATCTTATAAAAAAGCGTATTATTCTGTTAACGAATTTATAAATGATAAATAAAGGAGATTGGTCAAATTGGCCTAAATGCAAATAAAATATTGACATATACAGTAATTCTTGGCGTAATTTATATTTTATTTTACAGTCATTAGATTTTAACGGCCACCTTTAAATAATATATTAATTTTAAAAAAGGACTTCTATTTTTACCGGTTTGGAAAACATACGAATCATTTTTATTGGCTATGGGTGTAGTAACATTCACAAAGACTGATCGAGGTTGTTTATATAACATCAAAACAAATCTATTTTGTAAAGATTGATAAAATATTTCGATGATATTTTAATTCAAAATGTAGATGATATGTAATATTAAACGCAACATAAAAGTACTTAAGTTGTTTTATTTCATTAATTTACCTTATCAGAATATTTAAGCTATGTCAGGAATATACATATTTCACACATTGATCAGAACTATCATGAACCTACGCAATATATTATTACATTAGAATTACCTTTTACCATTATGAACCTAATTATTGCTAAGAAAATATCCTATTGGTTTTTATAAAATTATGATAACAGTTCCATGTTTCTCATAACATAGGTAAGCAGGTACCAGTTCCTTGACATGCATTTTATTAGTGTAATTAGTGTTAGACACTTGTCAAATGAAACAAGATTGCTTCTGAAAGTCGCAATGGCATAATCATGATTTTAAAACTTACTCTTGTGCATTAATTTTAAAAACAGGCAATTATCTGTTATTTTACATGCTCTATATACCTGAATCTAATACATAATATCGGTACTTGGCTTGATTGCCCTATTTTCCTATATAAGTTATTTGGTTTTTATTATTCTAATACCTATGTGCCTATTTGCAAACATAACCTCAAAATCATTCAGTGTATATGGTTTATAGAAGTTCTCAGGAGTGGCCGTCGATAATATTCGTTTCTACGGTAATTTATATATAATTTCGAATCTAGGAAACAATTTTTCATGGTTATTGGTTTTTAGGCCAAACATGTATGGAAGCTGAGCAATCTCCTTTGTGTTTGACCTGTTAATTTGATTTACTTTAACTTGTTATGATATGATTATGATTTGACTATGATGATATGATATGACTATGATGATATGATGATGATGGTAAATTGACTTGATTAATTTTTAAATTTGATTGATTTTGTTCATATTTGGTTGGACCTACAATATTTTTGCGCCGTGAAATTAATGTATATAATGCAAAGCTCAAGTTTGTTGCAACACCCCAACGGGGTCATGTATCACTCACTATTAACTATCATATAATAAATAATGTAAATGAGCAATGTGAAATAAATAAATAACTCATGATTGTATTGACGCTGAAACAACATAATTATTTGTAAATGTAGTTACATTATTCTTTTAGGTTGTGGAGTAAGTAAGTAAGAATAAGTATTGGTAGGGTAAAAAAAATTGGACGATTCAAAAGAGTTGAATGCATCCAAATTTAATAAAGATATTTGATTTTTTTTGTATTTGACGATGACGATGTTATCGATGAATGTATTATTAAATTGAAAGGAAATGTTACCAAATGGCTGATTTATGTACTCGGAATGGACAGACAGAATGCAGCTTGCTCCAACCTTTAGTCAAATGGTGTGTGAAACTGATAATGCTCCCGGTAGGAATGAGTTGGGTATAGACAGAAGATTCCATTTGACGATGAAATACCTACGTTCCAAAACATCCTTTTTACCTATGAATAAAATAATTTATGTTCATTTGATTGATATAATTTAGAAATAGTTTTTTTGTGAATGACTGGCATCGTCATCCCCAACCACTCTTATTCTCTCGCTATATATCTTATTACGGCCGCCTGCAATTTCGTCCATGTTATTTACATTAGTTTTTTAAGCATCCCACAGGAACCTCTCTTATTTCAGGGATAAAAACAGACCAAGTGCGAGTCGGACTCGCACACCAAGGGTTCCGTACAAACTCAATCTAATACCTCCACGCGTTCATGAGTAAAGAGTAACTTAAAAAAATTCAAAAATATTTTTTATTATATGATTTACCTAAAAATTTACGATTTTCGCAATTTTTCCTTTATCTGTACTATAAGACGTTACTTTGACGTTACCAAATTTCAAGATTCTAAGTTCACGGGAAGTGCCCTGTAGGTTTTGATTCCCGTGCGAGTTTCGAAAATTTGCGCCATAAACGGCTGTATCTTATGATTGCTTTGGCTTAGAAGTTTCATTTTTTCACAGCTCCAAGGAACAGTAGACATGAGTACCAGATATGAATTTCAGTTTGATACCTCCACGCGTTCCTGAGAAAAACGGTCTTGACAGACGGACGGACGGACAACAAAGTTATCCTATAAGGGTTCCGTTTTTTCCTTTTGAGGTACGGAACCCTAAGAAGTATCCTTGTCTCAGTCCAGGTCATAAACTATATGCGTACCAAATTTCATTTAAAACCGTTCAGTAGTTTTTGTGTGATTAAGTTACAAACATACAATCACACAAACATTCACATTTGAATATTAGTAGGATAAGCGCTCATTGATCAACAAGTGATCAAGCAAAAAAAAATTGAAGAAAAATCAAAAATAGGTATCGATCGTCACTTCCGTTCAACGAACACTGACTCAATAGATAGCACAATCTCCGATGATACTATATCTTTTGGTATTTAACATATATAAAGATATCTGTGCGTAACACTAATAATTTGAATATAAAAGCGTATGTTTGACATCAGGTTTTCTTTTCCACAATAATAATAAATATGGTGTGTTGGTTTTTGATTTTGGTAGTTTTGTGCTGTGAAAGTGCACGCACTCAGACGAGCGGGGATGCTCAATACCGGGAAGTTAATGTCCCGGGTCAGGGTAAAATAAGGGGTTTTCGTGAACCTGGTACTGATGTCTTCACGTTCTACGGGGTCCCTTACGCCACCGCCCCCACTGGCGAGCACAAATTTAAGGTAAGTTTCTTTGTACACTTATAAGTAAATTGCACACCAGTACTTTTTCTCACGCAGGCAATTGAATATACAAAATAGTACGCTTTTATTTAGGGACTGGCCCTTTTTACAAGTTTTTACCCGACTGCGCAATGCAAGAGCGCGAAGCGCGACGCGCAGACAGGGTATAGTGTTTAACAGTCTATATATGTATGTATGTATTTGTGGCACACTAGAGACTAAACGCGTGGACCGATTTTAATGATTCATATGTCAATCGATTCGTCTTAATCATGGGAGTGCTACTAAAGATATGATAGTAATCGAAGTTCAATATGGGGACAATGAGGAGTCATATTGTGAGAGAAAATAAAATAAATTGAAGAAATATAGTCAAGTGGGTTATCACTGTCTAGATAATCGAAAATCATGTTAGGTTCCTCACACAATTTTTCATTTAATGTGACTGTTTTGGATCTAGAATGATTTAAAGTATTATAACCACTTGCGCTTTTAATTTCAATAATGTCCGTCCGTCTGTCAGGACCGTTTTTCTCAGGAACGCGTGGAGGTATCAAACTGAAATTCATATCTAATAGGTACTCATGTCTACTGTCCCTCGAAGCTGTGAAAAAAACAAACTTCTAATCCAAAGCAATCAAAAGATACAGCCGTTTATGCCGCAACTTTACGAAACTCACACGGGAATCAAAACCTACAGGGTACTTCCGGTTCCTTAGAATCTTGAAAGGACATTGCTCGTTTCCCATACATTGAATGCCCTAGAACGCACAGCAATGAGAAAATGGTAGTTGTGTTCGGAAGCATTAATAAAGTCTAATTAGGCATTTGTTGAGATACCTACTACAGAATGTATTAGATTTTGAGGTTATAATTATTATACTTGATCGTAAAAAATGTACACTTTATATATTCTGAATAGATTTAGTGTTTCCTCTATGTAAGCACTTAAATAATATGCATTAAATGAACATAAAATGCAATTAATAATAAAAATAATAAATGCTTATATTCATATTGATTTATTAGTGTTGGCAGTTGGCACCTATGATATCTATACCAACCTGTAGTAATAATAGATCTCTTTTCAAATGAAATGTTCAAAGTCTTTCCATTTACCTGTTTCTATATTTTTCTATCGGTAATTAGGTATGTACCTGGTTATCATTATGATTTTCATAAAAATAAACAGATATTACATGGGATGGGAGTATAAACTATCTTTACATAATTTCAGAAATAATATTTCCATAAATATAATATAAATACTAGTCCCCATAGTATATTCCAGTTATCAGTTGATTTTTATTACTGTATTTTCAATAAAAAGGAGTGCCAAGATTGTTTACAAAATAGGACAAGTTAGAATGAACAGACTGCAGTTTCTAGTAACCGAACTTTTATTTTTTATTTTTTGAACAGATTGTCCGTTTACTATGTTTAGTTGCTAATAAGTTAAAAAAATAATAGAAAAAATATAGCGAAGGACATTCTTTTGGGCATGCTAGGGCCGATTTCGTCGATGTCCTTTGGTACGAAGTAACGTCTTATAGTACTGATAAAGGAAAATTGTGAAAACCGTAAATGTTTAGATACATCATATAATAAAAAATAATTTTTAAAATTTTAAAGTTACTACCTCTTTTCTCATAAACGCGTACAGGTATAAATTGAGTTTGTACGGAACCCTCGGTGCGCGAGTCCGACTCGCTCTTGGCCAGTTTTTTTTCTTTTCCTCTTAGGTTTTATCTACGTTTATAAACACCAAAATTCATCAAAATTTCTTCTCCCACCATTCCCGCAGTCTACTCCTGCATAGTACCCCGCGCCATCACTTTGCCATCGTTGAAACTTTTTAAATATCCAAATGACATAATGTAAAAGGCAAAGTTTATCGTCTTTAAATATCAGAAGCGATAAAAGTATTTGTTTTGATAAAAAATAATTTGTTAATACAAAATGTGCATTTTTGGAAATGGATATCAAATAATATTTTATTTAGGTTTCACTGTTTTATCAATAATAGCTTATACATTAAAAATAGATATATGCTGTCACAGACTTTTTTGTAGAACTATTTAAGAAATAATTTTTCTTCTTCTTAGCCGGTACGCTCTTGACAGAGCTGTCGTGATCGCTATGCACTTGTAGTATTATTGGAGGGGGCAGATGTGATGCGCTTCACTATGTTCCGCCATTGCTGCCTGCTAGAGGTCATCCTGCTGCACTCGTTTAGTGAACCTCCAACGGCTGACTTGATCTGGTCAGTCCATCGCGTGGGAGACCTTCCGCGCGGTCTAGTACCTTCCACCTTTCCTTGGACGACAAGGCGTTCTATGAATAGGTTGTTACGCCGAGAAACGTGTCCGAAGAATGTTAGGATGCGAGATTGTACTGTCGAAAATAGACGCTGCCTGATACCGAGTTCTTGAAGTATCGAGACGTTCGTGCGAAACTCGGTCCACGAAACCCCAAGCATTCTTCTCCAGCACCACATTTCCAAAGCGTCCACTTTCTGCCTTTCCACATCTCGCAAAGTCCACGTCTCAGCCGCGTAAGGAAATATGGGGAATATAAGTGTCCTCACAAGCTTGGTCTTTGTGGCTTTAGTAATGTGTCTGTTTCTCCATATTCCGCATCTTGTCCATCGCTGATCTTGTGATGCCCATACGTCGTTTGATTTCATCGATGCATCCGCCGTTGTTTGAAATCAGGGCCCCAAGATAGATATAAGATTGGACCACAGTGCAATTCGCGATTTGTGTCACTTCAGGCGAATTATTTCTGGCACGGTCAACAATCATTACCTTGGTCTTGCTGCGATTAATTTTAAGGCCAAACTCACGGCTCACTCGCTCCATCTTTGACAGTAGCTCATCCAAGTGTTGTGAACTGGTTGCAAATAAGGTGGTGTCATCCGTGTAACGTAAGTTTGCAATCCTGTATCCACCAATTGTTACTCCGTCCGTCCAGTGCTCCAAAGTGATGCGCATTATCAGCTCTGTATAGGCGTTGAATAAGAGCGGGGATATTATGCATCCCTGGCGTACTCCTGCACTAGGATGGAAATCACCTGATAGGACATCATCTGTGCGCACTGAGGCTGTGCCTTCTTCATATAGGCGTCTTAAAAGGTGAACAAGATGTTTTGGTGTGCCCATATCTAGCAAGGTCTTCCATAATACCGGCCATTTCACCGAATCGAATGCTTTGGAGAAATCAACAAAGCAAATGAATAAGGGCTTATTGAATTCTCTCGACTTCTCGATGATCTGACGTACGATGAGAATTTGTTCCCGAGTGCCTTTCCCCTTCACAATACCGGCTTGTTCCGGAGCGATCTCCTTAGAAAGGTAGGTTTTCAGTCGCTCGTTGAGAATATGCAACATTATTTTGCTAGCGTGTGATATTAGAGCAATGAGGCGGTAATTGTTACATTTCTTTGTCGTACCTTTTTTGTGCAAGGGTGTGAAAACGGTGTGTGTCCATTCAGTAGGCCAAACTCCTGTCTGCCATACCTTGTTGCAAATAAGATGAAACATCTGGTCGCCACGATCTCCTAAGGCTTTAATTGTCTCTATCGGAATTGCATCTCTACCAGTTGCTTTTTTACATTTCAGGTGTTTTATGGCAGCTCTTACTTCGGACAGTAGAATGTCTGGTACCAAATTCTCCCGTTCTGGGTCTGTACTTGCAAACTGTCGTGACTGCGGGTCTCGGAATAATGACTGACAGTAGTTCTTCCACGTTTCGGAGATTTGTTCGAGCTCTGTTACCACTTCATTTCTGTCGTTCTCAATGGCCCAGGTTCGAGCCGGTAGAGATTTGGTAATAAGACGAATTTTGTGGTATAGATCTCGAGACTCGTGCTTCAGAGCATGTTTTTCAACCTCTTCACAAATGCTATGAAGATGGCGGTTGTGGTCTCTCCTGCAGCAGGCTTGGATGTTAGCAGACATCTTATTCAACTGCCTTATGTCTGTTCCTGCAGCTTTCTTAAGGCGCCTCTCCTCGATTAGAGCAAGAGTACTATCCGTCATCCAATGTTGACGTTTGCGGGTTTCTGATCTTGGATTAGACTCCGCCACTGCACTTTACTTTAAATAATTTTTACTGTACATTATATTCATGTAACTTTTATTGGTTCGCAGATGGGAGATTTTTTTCCGACTTACGTGACACTTAATGTTATATTTTGGCCAATTCACTCAGTAACTAAATAAATTATTATCTATGTATTATTATTACGCATGAGCTACATTATTGTCAAGTTTCATTAAAATCCATTCAGTATTAATTGGGTAAAAGAGTAACAAAGATCCATACAACAAAGTGATCCTATAAGGTTTCCGTTTTTTCCTTTTGATGTACAGAGCCCTAAATATGGGCTACTTTCAGTATCTAAACCTATGCGAAGTACTTACAATAAAAGTGTGATAAAGTGTTCCTTCTTATTATATGAGGAAAAATAAATTATCATAAAATGTATTTCTTATTATTAAAATTTCATGAAAAAATCTGTATTGTACTGTTTTTAAAGTCTATTTTAACGATATTACTTCATGTTACTTAAAGGGTTACTGAACATAATGAGAAATAACCTATTATTCGCTAGTAGGTACATACCTACATAACGAATGTCTTTATAAATTAACTCGCGATAAAGTTGGGATTTATGGTGATGACAGAATTATCGTTTTCAATTATAAACGATAATTCTGCAAAATTCGAAGCAAATAATTTAAAGTTTTATGGGTTAATCATCTCTCATCACCCTGCCCCTATAAGTGTTTCGATAATGGAGCTTAAAACCAAGGTCCTGTCTATTTCTATAGGAAAATTCATCAATACGATTTATCTATTAGGACGCGAAAGCGTAATAACCAAACTCACTTTCGCATCTATAATATTATATTATACTAGTAATCCGCGCCGGCATTACACGGACGAAAATTTATTTTAACGGGTTAAAATATAGCACACGAAGTGGCGTGTGCTATATTTTAACCCATTACGGACGGACGAAGTGCCGTATAATGTTAAATTTTTACTACAAAAAATTCCTTTTTTCAAGTAAAAATTTTCTTTGGATTTATAAATCTCCTGTGAATGAATTTTCGAAATCGGTTCAGTAGTTTGAGAGGTTATTTGTTACAAACTTACAACTTTTGCAACATTTATTTTTCAGCCACCTCTTGCACCACCTTCTTGGAATGATACATTGGAAGCGCGAGATAAGCGCATCGTATGCCCACAAAATGATATAATACAAATGTTCAATGTAACCATACAGGAAGACTGTTTAATTGCAAATATTTTAGTTCCTGACACCCAAGAAAAGTATCTCCCAGTGTTAGTAATCATTCATGGAGGAGCTTTACAATTAGGATATGGCAGGGATATGTCTACAATAAACTTAGTGAACAGTAAGAAGGTTATTGCTGTAAACTTCAATTATCGTCTGGGCATTCCCGGATTCTTATGTCTCGGCAATAAAGATGCTCCCGGCAACGCTGGTATGAAAGATCAGGTTGCCCTGTTACGGTGGGTGAATGCAAACATCGCCAGCTTCGGTGGAAACCCGAATGATGTCACTGTCACTGGCTGCAGCGCCGGTGGAACCTCTGTTGATTACCTAATGCTTTCGAAGTTGACAGATGGCCTCATGCACAAGGTTGTACCAGAAAGTGGCAGCAGTTTAGGCTCCTTGCACATTCAATTTGATCCTCTCCAAAACGCTAAAGATCACGCTTTGAGATTAAACTTCACTAATGTTGACAACATCGACGCTCTTACAGATTTTTATAAAAATCTGCCGTATGAAGTGCTTTTGCAGGATTTTGGCTACCTGACCAGAAAAGATTCTTCGGGCGTGTTTGTGGTCTGCGTAGAAAGAGACATAGGGCAAGAGAGATTTCTTGAAGACGCACCGTTAAATATTTTGAGAAATAAAACCCAAAAAATATTGCCCATGTTTTATGGATTTGCAAGCTTAGAAGGAGCTTGGCGATATAACATGTTCGACGTATGGAGCGCTCCAATGAATAACAACTTTTCGGATTTTCTGCCAGCGGATCTGAGGTTTGAAAATGAAACTCAAAGAGAGGAGGTAGCGGAAAGGGTTAAAGATTTTTATTTTGAAAATAAAGCAGTCGGTAACGATACTTTATTACCATATATTAATTATTTTTCTGACGTTATATTTGTACAAAATATACTTCAATCGGCTAGATTGCATGTAGCGGCGGGTAATGATCAAGTATACCTGTATCAGTATTCCTTTAACCGCAGTGACAGGCCGGCTGTGCCTGGCAGAGATTTGCAAGGTGCCAATCACTGTGCCCAAACGTATGCCGTGATAGATGAAATAGATGAGAACCTTCTGCCAGAAGATTACAAGGCGATGAAAGCAGTAATGCGAGAATTATGGCTTAATTTCATCGTCTATGGGTAAGTTAATCTCGAATACCCAATAGTACCCAAGTAATTACTTAGTTAAAAGAAAGCATACATTTGTCTTACATTTATTTTAAGTTCGTGAAAATATCTTATATTAGAAATATCATTATTAAGTTTTTTTATAATAATGTGGCTGCTTAAAGCTTTCTTCAGTATGTGTATTTTATGCCTATTAAGCAAATATGTCGCGCGCTTGTTATTTCACACTGCATTACCTGCCATGGGACGGACGGGATGGAGCTCACCTATGGGTACTCATGGGAGCGTAGAGAAATCAATTTAACAGGAAAAAGTGCTAACATCAACGATATTATACACCAGGAGCATTCAAAGTGTATCCCGATCAAATAGTTCTTAAACTCCGCATAAGTACTACTTAGTTTACAGGCGTACGCGGACCTTTGAAAAGTCAATACGTCGAAGAGCTCATTGAAAAAAAAACGTAAACGGAGTATTGTTTTCGGTATAATAGTAGGAGTGTAGTTTTTTCCATGTTAACAAATAATGTTTGTTCACTTAATGCATTTGTGGCAAACATCTTATATATAAAATTCTCGTGTCAATATGTTGGTTACCATATTACTCCAAAACAGCTTGACCAGTTTTTTATGAATTTAACATGCATATTAGGAAGGTCTGAGAATTGGCTACTATCTATTTTTCATATCCCTAAGTGAAAAGGGTTCTCCACCCCTAACATTTTATTTTTATTTTTTGGACAAACTTTTATCTTTTTGCAATGTGGAATTAAAAATACATACAACCCTAAATTTTCACCCTTCTACCACCAGCCTACCTATGGCGGTACGTAGTTCGCTGGGTCAGCTAGTAATATATATATTTCGTTCTAAAACTTACCATTAATTGATTTCGATCTCGATTACGAACAAAATCGAGAGCGAAATCAATTAATGGTAAGTTTTAGAACGAAATATATATATCTATCTCTCGTTGGCTAACATACTTATTGTGTATTACAGGAACCCGACTCCACCAATACGTAACAACTCGCTGCCCGTCTGGCCGCCAATGGATGCGAATTGGTCCCCGCACTATGCATTATCACAGATCGTATTCGTGGATAGTGATGCACCGGTCCAAAATAGAACACTCTTCTGGGATGAACTGTACTCCGCTCACTACCGCATCCCTATAGCGGTCAGCTCAGCACATGTCTTCAGTACTTCATCAAAATCCTTGATTGCAGTTAGCGTAACAATCACCTTTCTCACTACAATCACAAAATAAAGAGTACATAAAGTAGTCTGTACAAAATGCTTTTCTTTTTTTTAGAGCAACAAAAATAAGTTATTATAACTGTTCAGTGGACGGTTGTTTGAGTGAATTGTCGTTTTATCTAATTTGTACCTAATATAACAGTAACAATGGAATTTTAATACAGTAGAACCCGTATAATACGATCACGTTTAATACGATTTCTAGCATAATGCGCCATTTCGCGTCAGTCCCTGCAACTTGAGACATGTTTTCATACTATTGTATTGCTTAACGCCTTATACGATTCGTCATCCTGTCAAATACGCCTTAATCGCCAACAAGTACCACTCATATTACCTCTCGCGGCAGCGGCCAGCAATTGACGTGACGACTGTCGAGTGACACACGCTACGCGACCCCTAGGGTTTTCCTGGATATTCTTCCATTGATGTCAATGTGGCACCGTACGAAATTTAATCAATTAAGATCTTATTGAGAATGTGAATAACACACACAAAGTGGCCCTAAGTGATGAGTCAACTGCGATTTTGTCACACGCCCAGGCATTATCATCAGTTTATAATTTAAGACGTATATGTAACTTCTTTGAATCAAGTTCAAATCAAGTACTGCAAAAGTTAAATAATGTTGAAAATCTTGTAATTGCTAATGCCTCAAAATCTTTTTGTGAAACTAACATAGTGATTAATTTAAATACAAACGTAATAATTATACACTAAATTTTTTATAATGTACATAATTGAGTGGAAAACAGGTGAAGCCAATAGTTTAGCTTTTAGAGGGGGGGGGGGGACTTTTCGAACAAAAATTAGCACTTTAAAGTTCAATATTTCGCAAACGGATCCCCAAATCGAAAAATAGTCTTAAAAACTTTAAGTAGTTATAAAGGACCTATGCTATTGGTCCGGAACCTTTGCTGCCCATACATCAGGCCCAAATTAAAACGTGGCTGCGTGAAATAACTCAGAAATCACACTTAATGGAGTGGAAAACAGGTGAAGGATGCCAGCAAACGAAAAACGCGGTTCCAGCGGCAAATAAAAGTTTTGCCCGCACCCTTACCAGACTAAATATGGACAAACTTCGCAGGATTATAGGAACCCTGATTGGTCATTGTCCCGTAAACAAACACCTATATACAATAGGAGTAACAGACAGCCCTCTATGCAGAGGATGCATGGAGGCAGAAGAAACGCCACAGCATGCCATCATGGAATGCAGGAGTGTGGTGGACCAATGGACCGTTCAAAAAAACCTGCGTAAATAGAAATGGTAGGTAGGTTCCCTTACATCTGCTTAAAGATATCACTTTAATATCTAAGTAGGTACCTCTAAAATTATGTTAAAAAAATATTATTGTATAATGATATGACTTTGAAAAAAAAGAAACACCACAGTCGCTACTTGTTGTTAGTTTCTAAATATCTGAACAAAACTATAAAGCCAGTGATGATGTTAGGAATTTAGAAGTTTTGTTGTCAAATGTTTAAATAAGCAAATAAGTGTATGAGAGAAATAATACTGAATTACTTTGATTATTTACTCTAGACAGAGCGTCACCTAGTAAACACTGCGATAAAATTTTACGTTTGTGTGCGTGACACGCAAAACAAGTCACGCGGTTCGTGTATCTTAAACTCGCAAAATGTCATTATTTTTGTCTCAGTGCGCATGCGTAAGATATTAAGTACGCTTAGTAAGCTACTATAGCGGACTGACAATGGCTAGCACGTTTTAATTGTTGGAGTGCGTATATAAAAGATGAAAGCTTATTTGTTATTTTTTGGATAACGAGGGGAAATAGGTACACGTCTGATCCAGGGGCGTATTTTGAAACCTGGCGGCTGGGCCTGTTCGGTGCAACGCAAACGACCAGCGCAGCCATTTGCAATTCAGCAAGTTGCACTTTATACATAAAATATGGAATTAATTTTAGTACGTAATTAGATACCATTAACGCGACGCGTGCTCAATACCAATCATAACCATTTTTCGTATTTATATTATAGTATTTTATTATTTTACATTTGTGAGTTTAATTATTATACAGTTTTACACGGACTTTGGAGTTATTCTTTTCTTACCATATAAACAAAGGGATCTGGACGCTAACCATCGAGCGTACAGACAAAACCTTTTCATGGTCCTTCGAGCCGGATATGAACCAGCGACCCATGGATTTTGTTACGATTTGCACCCCCCACCCCACCAGAATTAGATACATAGATAAATCATTTATTCCCATCAGTACAGCACACAAATTCAAGTAAAAAAATAGAACAATTAATTACTAGGTATGTAACTCTGTGCCGCAACGACAGAAAAAGGCAAAAACTCAGCGATACCTTTGCTCTAAGAGCAAAGCACTGGTTTTCAGTTCTGCCTAGAAAGCGCGTAACGTGAAACGACATCGACGTGACGTGATTAATTTATTATTAAGAGAATTAAATTAGATTATATTTTTTTTAATTTAAAAGATTATTAAATTATTATTGATAAATTATTATAATATAACTACTCACGAATTAGTGAATCGAATCAAAATTTAATTCAGTCACCTATGCCTTTGTATGGCTACTGCGCCCCTCACAGCTCTTGCAGCCGCCCTTTGCAGTCTGCCGCCTCGGGCCATGTCTCCCTTTTTTTTTCATTTATTGGAGTCAAACAAACAGTTTCACAATATATATTAGTTCTTAGTATATGTAAAATTAATCTTATTAATTGTGAAGCCACGTTAACCACAATTTAATATCTAAATTGAGGGTTTTCTAGAAAAGAGAATAATAATAATAATCTTTTGCTAACTAATCAAGATCTAAGTAAATTACTTATTTATTTTAGTGTTTAAATCATCTAATCTTATGACCCTAGGGTAAACCTGGTGTAAATCAGATTTGATGGAGGACGACGACGAATTAAAGCGAGATCGTACCTTATTCTTTATCGTACGGTAATTGTTAGTTCTGCGATTGTATATTAAATAATAGAGCCAAGTCTTAGGGGTTTGATCCATGTTATTCTTAGGGGTTTGCTCAGGTCCGAATAGTTAATTTTGTACAGGGTTGACGTAGGGGATGACCAAAACGGACGGACGGATGAGAATGAGACTAAGGCCTGTTTTACAGAATGACAACTAAGTGTTGATCTTTACTTGAGTACAGTTACAAAGGGATATCGCTATGTGCTATATATAGCGATATCCCTTTCTAACTATGCTCAAGACTAGATCAATCACCGAGAATCTTTCTATATTACGGGCCTTAGTATTCGTTTTCCGTTGTCACCCTATGGATACGGAAGCCTTAAATTTCTGTCAAAGTAAAGATAAATAAAGTTGATAATTCGGACAAGCCTCGATGAACTCCGCCTATTTAAGGTACGTTCACATAAGAGTAAATGTTAGTATTTATACATATACCTAGTAATATATTTATGCCGACGACTTCATCTGCGTGGAAAAAATGGTATCCCATTAAATTTCATAAAATAAATAAATTTTTAAAACAAGCTTCAAAAAAAACGAGAGATTACTATGGTGGTTCTCCGGAAGTGTGTTCTCCGTGTAAATAACATAGCATTTTTTAAATCGCTAAATTGAACACACACAAACACAAAGACAAACACAAACACAAAGATATTGAAAACTTAAGCAAACTTAAACATCAGTATTTAAATTCGCCACATGGCGAATGTGTAGTTAATGCAAATATTTTTGTTGGAATTTACATTAATAAAGACCCAGTACTTATTTGTTTAAACATTATTTAATACATGAAATTATGCTCAAATGTTATGTGTTGTTTGCGTAGATTTAAGAAGTACATACATGATTTAAAATGATATTTAACAGAAAATAGTAGCTTTCTTTAAATACAACGGGGCTCGAAATACGAATATCATAGTAATAATGTTATTATTTATTTAAGAAAATTTTTATTATGATTTCAAATCTCCCATAACATTGAGTCTTAAACATTGACGAATATAATATAAGTCATGGCAAATTTTTTATATTCACAACGAAGCAGACTACCACCACTTGTATATATATTTTGTATCACAGAATATTGGCTTAAAAGTCATCATATCATGTTTAATTTTAATAATCATCAGGTTGGTACTTCGTTCAGTCGAGAAAATGCAATTAGCGATGGCTCTTAAATTTTATACAATAATGTACTTAAATTTTAGGAACGTAAGGATATTTTCAGCCTCCCGGTTGAGAGAACAATAGAAATCGACTCTGTCGAACTGGACCGGCTTGTTGTATTGAGTGTATATGTCGTGGCCATATCGTAGATTTGATCACTTCATGAAATGCTCGAGAATTTCATGAAATGGTCGCATTTCATGAAATGTTTCACTATCTATTGGCCACATCATGATGTGGTTTGGGCAGATCAATGATGAGAAATCGTTTCACGATATGGCCAACTAAACGCGTGGCTACTTCATGAAATGGCAAAAATTATTTGATCATATTGTAAAGTAGTTACATTAATTACTGGTAGAGGCGCTGCAAGCGCTTTGTTTATATATTTATATGGCGGCCGCTGCCCACAATGTTGTTTCTCGCAGTGAAAAAGTGCATAATTCGTTATTTAATGAAGAAGAAAGTTACCAAAAGGATTTTCGACGAAACAAATTAAGGAGAGTAGGGTGACTACGCAAGAGAAATCTATGGACTATTACTGTCTGTCAAAATATGACATTTTGGAAACTGCGGTTGAGGTACAAAGTACGGATGAGTTTTTTTTCTGGCGCTTCACCGGCCGCTGCCGCGGCACGCTCGCTTTGCTCGCTCGGCTCGCGCGTCATGGTCACAACACTAACCTAACCTAGTGTGAAGTATTACCGTTTGGGCCCTGGAAGAACAGTTAAGTCTACTATTGTAATATGTACCAAAGTACCTTATTATTTCTAAATATTTAATAGTTTTCTAAATATAAATGTGTAAGTTCTTGACATGTTTGATGTTTAATTTAGGAAAAAAATCTTTAATTTGTTTATTTTGTTTCAAAAATTTGATTACATTTGTTTGTGTCATTCGGACTTAAATAACAATAAACAAGTTCTTACATATTCTGGATTTTTAATAAATATTTTACGGACACCCTAATTATACGATCCGGCCAAATGTGGATGTCCAAATCGTTAAATGTTGACGATTTAATGATCTGGTGAAATTAAGTTGGCCACATCATGAAATGTGACCATTTCATGAATTTCTCGAGCATTTCATGAAGTGAGCAAATCTACGATATGGCCACGACATATACAAACCTCCTTAAGCATTGTATGATTTTTTTGAAGTTATTATGGATGAAGCTTGAACTGGTACACTTCAACACTGGTAAACAATTAATTGTTTGTGGAGACTTTAATATTAATCTACTAGAAAGCTCTGGTTTGAGAATTAAATTAAGAAATCTATTTCAATCATATAATCTTGAAAACTTGTTCATGGAGCCAACTAGAATAACTGCTACTTCGGCCACTTTTATTGACAATATTTACACGGATATAATACCACATACAAAAGTAATTGTTAATCAATTAGATAGTGATTATTGTGGCCAGATGATTACTTTTTCACATCCAAATAAAAATGTAACCAAGAAAAATATCACTATTGAGCCAAAATCAGTTAATCGTGTTGAGCGTTTTAAAATTGAATTGGATAGGATGTTGAGTTATTTAAAGTATATAGACAGTCCAAATCATTTGTATAATGATTTTTTAAATAATTTTTGTAAAGAAGTTAATGATGTCTTCGTTCTCAAAACCATATGTGTTAGTGATGCAGTAACTTTCAGCGAGTGGACCACCCCAAGCATACATAAAAGTAGAAGAAAACTTTATGAACTATACAATGAACGCAACATTAATACTAGTGAAAGTTTCAAAGAGTACGTACGTCATTATTCTAAGTTATTTGAAAAAGTATTTCGCATAGCAAAATCAAATTATTTAAGGTGTAAGATTAAGAATAGTAAAGACAGAATCAAAATGACATGGAACATTGTAAGCAATGAAACTGGAAATAGTAGTTTTAATTTAAATATTAAAAATAGAAATGTTAATAATATTGAATAATGCTTTAATGATGAGTTCAATGTTTAATTTGTGCATAATAATCATTAAACAGAAAAAAAATCCTTAAGAGATAAGTTTAAAGAAATAGGCGAATTGACGGTTGCATCACAATACATATATGACAGCTTATTGCTTGTTAAAAAGTATTATTTTTTTTACTAAAAATAGTGAAATACATACTTACACTTAATACTAGAAGTAAAAATAATTTAACTTTACCTGCTACTATGCTCCACAAATTAAATAATTCGTTTAGAGATGTTTGTGTTTACAATAAAGTCCCAAGCAATATTTAAGGGTTAAGCCTGACTAAATTTAAATCTACCATTAAAAATCACTTGTTGAGAAAGCTTATTATAAAGTGTCCGATTATACTACAGGCAAAAATGCTTGGGTTTGAACTGTTCTCAACCATACCAACGGGTATTTCTTTATGATATATATTATAAATAATGTGTTGACAATACTGTAATTGAATTTTAAAGCTGTATATAAAGTTAAAGTTGGTTAAAATATGGTTAAGCGAAGCAATGGCTGGTTCATGCGTCATGCTCGTGAACGGGTGCTGCCAGCTGAGATGAGTCTGCCCTAACTTCCTTGATATTGAAGATGTTAATGTCCAGTTACACCTAATATAAATAGCACTATTTGTATTTATACTGTATGACACAGCAATCAAAATGCAGGTTAACAATTAATGTCTTCTTAATCAAGTAATCATAAAATGTAATGAAAGATGACTTAGTTCCAAACAGCAAAGAGATCAATCACATTTTATAAACAAGCCATAAGCTAAACCGCAGGCTCGCCAAGTAAAAAAAAGGTTGTGAATGAACAAACGCGCGAAATACATTCCGACTTCGTTCATAATTTTTTACTCAAATTGGGATTTATTTGGTTTTATAAAAAAATAGTGTCGTTCTTGAGTAATGAGAATGAAAGTGGGAATGCTAAAAATGTGATAC